ATATATATATATATATATATATATATATATATATATAAAATAAAATAAAATAAAATAAAAATAATTTAAAAAATAAAATATAAATATATATTTTTATATATAAAAAAGAAATATTGTATTGTTTCAATATCAGGTGGTGCAGCCTTCAAAATGTAAAAGAAATAAATTCCTGAGTTGAATAAGACTACTTTTATATATTTACATCAAGGTTAGCTAACCTTTTTAAAGCCATCTCATTCATTTTTGGTAAGAGTATGTGATTTTAAGAGCGTATGCTTCTATACCAGTAAATTCAACAGTCTTTCATATCTTTTAATGAATAAAATTAGAAACAAAAGGGGTTTGTTTTTGTTTTTTAACCCACCGAGGTACACACCTGAATTGGCTCCCTACAGTCATGGATAATAACAATAAACCGTCGTATGGTTGTTCGCTTTATGGGTGAGACTAACGAGCCATCGCGACTTAATTAAGAGCATCTTTAATGAGTAAGTGGTCGGATAAGGATTTTTTTTGGGGGGGGCGAGGGGTTGTTGTTCCTGCAGAGACATGAGGGAAATCACCCCAGGACAGGAAGTGACCCACATTTTGAAAGAGGGATGATCTGAAAGGGGGGTGGGGGGGTCGTTCCCCAGCTTGCTTCTTTGGGGGTGCACTGATTGGTTCATTACTCATAGCAAAACACAGCTATGCAACCCCCCACATTTTGGATACACAAAGCCATCCCTGCCCCCTCGCAATCTGTATGATCATGTCTACTGTCCAGATTCCTTCAGTCGCCCTAATCACAATCCAGCAAAACCTCAGTCACATAATGATGAGGTTTAGATAGAGGAAATATAGAACCATTAAAACTATGTAATATAGAACATTGTAACTTCCATTACACAAAGTAAGCCACTGATTAAAGATGTACTTCTTACATTATATTGTGCTAATACAGTATTTACCAGCTCTTAGATATATTGTTTTTTGTTTTTCTTATTTTTTAGAATTAAATTAAATTAAATGTTTTAAAAAATTGTAAAAAAAAAGAAAAGAAATTTCATAAAATAACTTATTAAAACATTTATGGTGCCAGGAAAACAACAGAGAAAAGTTTCATTTTGTTCCTGTTTTTCTGTTGCATACCTCAGAAAAGATAGGAAAAAAAGAAAAAAATTGCCAAAACCTTTCTGACAGTATTCTAAGTTATGCTGAATATTTTAGCTTTATACCTGCAGGCCCTCTGACACCTCCCACCCAGGTGGTCCACTTACACTTCAGCTCAGGGTGAGGGGCCGTAATCGTGTGGACACCTGAGCAGAGGAGGGAGGGGCCCGATTAAATCACGTGTAATTCAAGTTGTTCTCCCGGGCCGCGTCCTGCCAACTCCGGCTGGAAATCCCCATTGATGTGCAACAGTTTCGTCTTTCCCCGGGGGAGCACTCTGAAGGTTAACATTTTGGCCGCGTTTGCTTATACGAGATGATTTACCTTCTCATCTGATGCCTTTGCCTTTCTGCTCCAGCGCCTGTCACCCTCGGTTACTGTTGCTACGCTGAACCATTATCCTCTGGGGGGGGGGGGGGCTAATACAAGTCTGCTGTAAAGCCTCCCGGTAGATCTAAAAGTAAACCAAATAACATATATCCACACAAGAGGATTAATGCCACTGCAGAAAAAAATTAATTCTGAGAAAAAAGTCAGAATTCTGACATTTTTCTCACATTTCAATTGATTTTTTCTTATGTGGCCCTAATCCTCTTCCATATATATCACACTGACATGCATCAGAGTCTTATAGGACATCAGCTTTCTTCTAATAAAGCATCCAGGCATCACGACCGGCCTCTGTCACACCCAGACACAAAGAAATGTCATTGTAAGTGTTTTTAACAAGATTAGATGTTCAAAAGATTAAATGAGAATTAGATCATGTACACCTACCCTTTCCTGGTTTATAAGAAGAATTTAAAAGTAAATATTTACAGATTGGAGGAGATTAATGGGGTATAATCCCTCTATTGTAATCCTGTGTGTTTTCCTTGGGTTTTGGTGCCCCCAAGAGTCCACAAAGGACTTCTACCTTATCTAATTTCTGAGTAATTTGGAATATTCTTGATTAATCATCCGTCAATTTTAATGCCAACTTCACCTTGATTAAAGCTATGGAGTAGGCTACCTGAACCCATCCTGGACGGCACACAGAGACAAATGCAAATATATGTTTGCATTAATATTCAGGGTGAATTTAGAACAATAACAGTGAATAACCTGGTTGAGGAGATCAGAACTTTGTGCATAAGTAAATATGTTACAGAGGGCAAATTAGCTTCCATCTCTGTCTGTCGCTTGTTGGTGGTTGGTACTGGTATATTTAAAATATAGCTTTAAAAACATTTAAATGGCAATGGCCTACTTTATTATAGTGTGCCTCACATTAATACAACCTAATTCATTATATATCGACTAGAGCAGTGTTTTTCAACCTTTTTTGAGCCAAGGTACATTTTTTCGTTGAAAAAATCTCGAGGCACACCACCAACAAAAAAATGTCAAACAAATCTGTATCCGCCTATAGTAACACTATAGTTGTTCTTATCTTATTCTTATCTTATCTTAAGTGTCTTGAATAGGAATCAAATAAACACAAAAATGTATTTTCATCATATTTTATATTTCTTCTTTCAAATTGCACTTAACATGTCCACTTCAATATATAAAATTATATACAAAATCTAGTCATAAGGAATTACGCCACCAGTCACTAGAACAGCACAGACACTCAAAAATGGCGTATTATTTGCAGAAAATTATCCCAAAAATTTTTTAGACCAATTAGGTGAAATAGGACGATTTTCTACGGCACACCTGACGGTCACTCGTGGCACACTAGTGTACCCAGGCACAGTGGTTGAAAAACACTGGACTAGAGAGTACTCATTTTGAATATATGTGTTAGACTGAATGTGTCTGCAACTCTCCAAAGTGCTATTTTAGAAACAGACTTCACTTGTTAGACCAACTCCTGAAAATCAACAGTCAGTATATAAACGTGGGAATATGTTTTTTAATCCACAATTAGTTTTTTGAGAATGTTGTTTTATAGTTATTTAACAAAACTAATATTTGTGTAAGCAGAAAAAATCCATCTACTTAACTTTTTTTTCCAAAGGAGTTAAGCAATCCAAACTAAAAATCTAGAGACAACCACAGTGAAAAATAAATAAAACAAACAAACAAACCAAAAATTATGCAAACAACGTAATAATATCTAAAGTTCCTGACAAAATGACGTTTTTTCGCGGCTGCTAAATTAAGGTCACGTGGGACGTTGCGTAACCTCCCGGGCCCTAGACTCACACGTGAACCGAGCAAACGGCTGCTTCTACTTTAATTAGCAGAAAAAGAAATAAAAAACAAGAAAAATTATGGATAAAGGCGACAACCCCTCTGCCACAATCTGCAGGTTATGTGGGGAAGCCTTCAAGCTTCCTGGTAGGATACGCGCAGCTTGTCCATTGAAGTTTAACGTCTTCTTTTTCCGAGTTTTCTGAAAATGATGCTAATGTTAGCCTAGCTGCTAATGGTGGCGTTTAGCTAGTGCGGAGCAGGTGGGTCGACTGGCTTCAACTTCAAACCCTGTAAAGCCAAACCGCGGTTAAAATAAGGCGTCGAAGTCGAATTTAATTCGCGAAATTGTTGTTTTTTCTAAAGTCCACAGAGCACGCTTTTGCTCTTTAACTTAATACATGCGCATGTTCTTAAACGTGAGGCCATTTTAACCAAGACAATGGCGCCATTGCTATGGCAACAAAAGTTATTTAGAGGGTTAAATGTGTTTATTATATCATGACTGTTTTTCCTTAAACAATAAATTTTAATCGTGGACAACTCAACTCAATTGTAATATTAATATTTAATAATGACGATAATCAGAGCAGTCATCTAGTCCTTAAACAGTTTTGGGGTATCAAATGTTTACCATAAGAAATTCACTTAAAAGAAGTTAGTTATAATTAAGGTGGGATCAAAGTTTTTACACAATACCTGGCAAATAGAGTACAACAAAATTATAAAATGAACAAATGAAAATACTTGTGTATAATACAAATATTTGGAAATTTTATGGAATAAAAAAGTAGTGGTCACTGTATTGATAAAGAAAATGTGTTTGATATAAAAGACATTTCAAGTCTGTTCTGGGTATTTTGTGATAGTAAAACTATGGAAGTGCAGTCAATGATTTATTTAATTACTATATGATGTTTTTAAGTTACTATGGACATATTTAAAGTTTTTATAATAATAATATGGGCTGGATATGGACCGAATGTGTTCAAAAGCATCCTTAATAGAAAGGGCATGTTATATCTTCCCTTTAAACAAATTTAAAACCATGCCAAAAACCAAGGATAACCATGTTAAAAACAAATTGTGTGACAGTTAGAGGGGGAAAAAGGGTTCAGAGTGACTCCTGACCTTTAGTATGCATCGCCATCTGTTGGTCACACGGAGCCAGTGTGATGGCTTCCTGCTGTTTTGATGATGCCAAAGAAGACACAGCAGCTAGTTCATGTCTTAAATGTTTCAAAGGTATGAAAGATAAATTGTAATGCTGTGCAATCTAAAGAAGACTGTAAGCCTGGGAAAGCACAATCCATTCCCCACAAGGGATTCCTAAAAGCATGTTCAAAATTATCCTTTTTTTATTTAGAGGCAGCTAAATAATCGAACTAACAATGAAGAATTTTCTAATGATTAACAATCTGTAACGTCGTCTTTACACTTTGGATATAAACACCCTCAGTTAAATCAGTATGTCTGTACTTTAATTCCATAAATACATATACTGTATTTTCAATATTATAAGACGCTCCAGAGTATAAGGTGTATCACTAAAAAATCAATAAATAAAAGTGTCATGAATAGCAAAAAAAAAGTCACATTGGACTACAAGGCGCATTTATTTAGAAATGTATACGTTTATGTTGTTTATTTGGTTATTTTTCCAAAGGCTTTGTACTAAAACAGACATTTATAACTTTTACATGAAGCCATTGTAAATGACTTTAATCAGCAATAATTTTTAAAATTCTTATCTTAAGAAGAGTGAAAATGATCTAAATATTTTGCCTTTTAAAGTCTCGTTGCTCTCTTGGATGACTGAAAATCTCCAAGATATCTTCTGTTCTTCCTCCTGTTGTTTTCAGAGGATAACAATGATGGCAACCTCCCTCGCGTGCTGTTATGTGGCCACACTTTCTGCACGTTTTGCATGCAGTCCATACAATGCAATGATGTCATCGTATGTCCAGATTGTGAGGTAAAGTTACCTTTGATCTTTCTCAATTCAGCATATCCGGATTAAAGGGTGATGTTTCTTTGACAGGTTGTTTCCTTCAGTAGCTATTCTAAGTGTATTTCCCACAGCATTGTGTTCAGTAAGGCTGCTAATCCTCTGTTGTATTTAGTTTGCTAGCAGCCTGTTTTAGTAGAAATGGCTTTAAATGCTAGAAAAGGGTTAAATGTGGCAGCTGAAGTGTATTAATTGTATTAAAATGACCTACAGGTGGAGTTCACCCTTCCTGAAGGAGGGGTTTATGGTCTTCAGGAAGAGAGCAGAATCGTAGGTCTCATCTATACTGCTAGAATGAACAAGATGAAAAGGTAAAATGCACATTAGTTAACACTGGACACAAAATAAGCGTTTAACATGTGTGACATAAATGTCCGAGAATTGGTCTTTAATTTCATAACTGCTTTCCAATTTTCCAGCTTCCAGTCTGAAAGATCCAAAAATCGCAAAAGAAAAAAATTCCCAGTCCGTGGACACATCAATGCTAGTGCTAAGCATGAGGAGCAGGTAAGTTTGGATGATCACAAAGGCTGCTACTGGACAACAAAACTGTTGATACTCATTTACACAATACCCTTTTTTACATAGATTATCAATGAACATGTATTAAATCACTTCACGTATCATTAAATGACTATTTTGTCTTTGTGGATACGATTTAAGAAAATCCTCTGAAATCTCCTGGGGTGGAATTGTTGGTATATTGTCACTTTTCAATTAATCAAGAAAGCTATCAGAATCTACTTGACGTATCCATTAACAGATTTGTTATTGACTTTGTATCGGTGTATAATTAAGCCCTCCCTATGCAAACCCTGAGGATAACTTAGATCACTCAGGTTATGTCTGCACTTAAACGCCAAATTGGTTAGTTATAACTTCTGTCCTAATTTTTGCCGTGTACTGATGATTTATTTGTTTATCTTCTCAGAGGACAGACATTGTAAAGATTGAGAGGACAGTGGATGAGGCCTTGGTCCAGGCTGCAGAAAATCTCAAACAGCTTGAGCTCCTCCATGAGGTGAAAGAAACAGAAATACTTTGATAATCCCAGAGGGAAATTATTTTTGTTACTAACTCCAAAAATACAACAGCATATACATATATACATGTCTATACATATATATATACAAAATTCCACACAAAATATGAATAAATGTATACATATGTAACTATATCGGCCGGCAGGAGAAAATGCAGACCCAGACTCCCGATCCAGTTTTTTTTTAAAGTCCGATCCCACACGAGCATTAGCATTAGCATCTGCTAACCCACAGGTCTGTGTCCTAACCATTAAGTTGTTATCAGAGTAAATCCCTGTCCAACATGAATCTAACAACTAAGAAAGTAGATAAATAACTCTAAACTTTAATACATGCTCCGATAGGCCGGTATCGGCCAGTATCAAATCAGAAATGCAAAAAGCTGGATCGGGACATCCCTAGCCCCTGGTATGAGTTAGGAAAGAAAAGCGTGTTTCATTTTGTCAGAAAGAAAAAGTAAACTGGTCCTTTAGTGTGTTTCATTTATGCTCTTTGCCTGCAGACGCTGACGACCGGTCAGGCAGGACAAGCGAGGAGAGGCCGAAAACAGCTGGAGATGGAGATAGAACAGGCCACAGAAAAGGCTTCACAGGCTATTCAAAAGTGGTACAGACATTATGATCTGTTAAGATTTATTTTCTATTAACTCATTGGCTGCCAAAGACATCTATAGACGTCAATTCAAATACAACCGCTGACTGCCAAAGACGTCTATAGACGTCTTTTATGTTTTTCAACGAGAGTGACTTGGGGGACGATCTGCTAAAGCTTGTCCGTAAATATCGGCTTCTAGACAGAGTATGTAGTAACAAATTTACCCTCTAGGTGGCAGTGCCACTTTTGATGGGAGATGAGCATAGACTGTAGGCAAATAAAAAAAACGCAATGGTTCGCTATGCGAAAAATGGCGCCGGTGAGACCCAAGTCGAGGAAGAACGAAATAAGGTAGAAACAAATTTTGTTTTTCCTGATGAAAGAAGAGAGTCTACTCTTTCTTTTGGTGTGTTCTGTGTTTTCATAGTCATAGCACAAACTATTCTGTGGCTCTTGAAAAATCAGTCAAAATGCTCAAAAAACTCTGGCAGTATGGGACTCTGTTCTGAAAATGGCTGGCAATCAATGAGTTAATACAAGGCAAACGCTTTTACATTGATATCTTCATTAAAATTCCAACAGGAGTTGTTTATTAGCTTTCTCTGGGGTTATTGACGGAGAACCTGTCATATCCTTGTCAACAGGAAGGTTCTCCAGATGGATAAATTATCCAAACTGGAGGTCCAGGTCCCCAGCAGCCAAGCGGAGGTTTCCCACATTAAGGAGAGGATCGAGGCTTTGAAGATCGCCATGCAAATGGCCAGGGAAATCCGCCGTGTGCCCTTCCTGGAGCAGTACTGCATCCTGGACAGGGTTTGAGACGTTAATGATCAGAAATGTATTTATTTAATCAGGACAGTGCACATTAATGAACAATCTCATACAGATTGTAAATGAGCCAGATTATATAGCATAGTTGCTAATTCGCATCTGTCGTCCTGAGGCAGGAAGACAAAACAACACAAAATCACATAATACAAAATCAGTTAAAACAGAGAGACACACGTTCAGACGATGACATTACAAAATTAAAATTAGTGATGACACACAATGCTTTTATTCCACAGTGTTGCTCTTTTCTTATGATAAACCCCAAATGTTTGTCATAGGGAACGCATCCTTCTTTTCCCACAAACAATCTTTAGTTATGAAATACAGGATTTAAAAGGTACATTTGCTCCAAATGTGAAAACTTTGATACTCACCCCATTCACATTCTTTGAAAGAACACAAGTCATAGATTGAGTAAAAAGCCTTTTTTTAAAGTGACTTAAGACAAGAAAACGATTAACACTGTAACTTTAAAAACAAATCTGAAATGCCAAAAGAAAGGAAAAAGCAGTTGTTTTTGAAAGCGTACGAGTCTAGAACATGGATTTTATATTAAATACCCCACAGTTAGCCAGGAAGAATAGCCGTTATACAGCTCAATTAAACTCTCTGATTGGCAGGTCCTTGAGACTCTTCTGGCTCCTGTGGATGGCAAATCCCACGAAATGAGCTGTGTACCGATGGGTTCCGAAATGAGGTTTGTCATTGTTTGTTATTCACATGTACATAAGCAATAAATCTGTCTGATTCTGTTTCATTGGCACATAAGTGAATATATATGTGTGAACACCCCTCTTAAAAGTAGTGTGTGACGGCTAATCTTTGATATTTATTGGACATGTCTTTCATCCAGCACAGGAAATATGCTCAAGGTACAAAGAGAAAGAGTCCTGAGTTGTTGGGGTTAAATTTAGCAATAATCATGAGTTAATTTTCTTTTCCAAAATTTTGCTCTTGAATCTTTTAATCTTTTTAAATCCAGGAAAGCATGTGTGTTCCTCTCAATTTCCATTTTAGGCCTTTTATACGTGCAGGTTTTACTGTCAAAAAAAAGGAGGCTGCATTATCAGAATCAGAAATACTTTAATAATCCCAGAGGGAAATTATTTGTATTATTATTATCATCATCGTTATTGACCGTTTTAAATGTGGACTTGTCTTTTAAAGCTGTGTTTTGCAGTTGGAGAGTCTGAACCAGAGTTTGGCCTTGTCTCTGAGGATGGAAGAATCCGGCCCAAAGCAGTGAGTCCTGTCCTTTATTTGCCCCTGAGTTCAAGGGATTTGTAGTTTTTATCTCAAAGCAATCTTGCATAAATTAAGACGTATATATATTATCATTGCTATGTTGCTTTTCTGCAGTGGAGAATGATCCAGTGTTTCCCATATCTGTAACATAAATGATTGTTTTTTTAAGTTACTGATTTGGTTTAAATTCAGTTTAGACTTTAGAATAGGTGAAAACACATCTTTTTTTCTAATTTGGTTTAAATTCAGTTTAGACTTTAGAATAGGTGAAAAACACATCTTTTTTTCTAATTTTTGTAATAATAATGTATTATTTTCATTTATTCACTTCATTTAAATTCAGAGAATATATTTTTCCGTCACAGGACTCGTCCTGTCTCCTCTGTGTGATCCTCTGGTCTCCGTTTAAACTTCAGTTTACATTCTTCTTCTTTACTCATGAAACTGTCTTGTTTTTAACTTTTTTTTCCACCCAAACAAAAAGCGATCGGACCGATCGCTCCAACGGGGAATCTCCGATTAAAAAACACCCGGAAGATAAAGATAAAGACTGCCATGGTATCACACCCAGGCAGAACAACCCTCCCACCCCCCTGAAGCAGGACAGGGGAAGCCCGGGGGGGGACTGTGCTTCCTCCTGGGGATCCCCTCCGATCCCAAAACCCCGCAGCAGAATCGGTCGCCCTCTCCAGACCTCATCCTCCGACCTCACAAGTCCAGACATCATCATTGAGGAGTTTTTAGATGAAGAACAAGACGGTGTGTGGTGTAGATCTGTGTCCTCCACTGACTTTATTTCACTCTCAGACCTCTACCTCTATCTCTATCTCAGCACTGACTCTGATCAGTGTTTCTACTCTATATAGCTTATTGTCATAGTGATGAGAAATGTAATATTGTGTCTACTCTGTAAGTCGCTTTGGATAAAAGCGTCTGACAAATGCATGAACATAAACATTTGAATGGAGGCTAAATGGGAAGCTTGTTTAAGGCTTTATATTGTTTTGCAGCTATTCCTCCCACTGGTCCAGAGTTGGCCAATGACCAATGGAGAACCTGCAGGAAGAAAAAAAATGTCTTCCCTCTTCATAAGACAAAAGGTGATGACGTTTTATGGGATAAATACAATTGTATTAATATTTTCCTTAAATGGTGAGAGAGGAGGTTAAATAAACTAAACACACAGTACTTTTTAGCTATATTTCTTATGATATTAGAAGTCAGAAGTGTGTGAGTGAGGAAAAAATATAATTATTGTAAAGACAGTTATTACTGTTTTTAGAAAAAGTTTTTAAACTTTATGGGAAATGAGATGTTTCAAATATATTTTCCAGCTGGGAAGTTATCTGTTATCCTATCTGTTTTTATTCTCCTCTCTTAGTGATGCAGTGGGTGGTGGTCACCCATGTGGTGAATCCGAGTCACTTCTATGTCCGCTACGTGGCCGAGAGGCGGGAAAACGAGGTGCTTTCAAAAAAGATTAAAGACCTCTGCCGTGGAAATGGCTGCTGCTTCACTCTGCAGGACAAAGTGGAGACTGGTATGTGCGTTTAAAAAAATAAATAAAGAAATGTTCTTTTTCATTTCTGAATACAGTAAAACTCTGACCTGTGTTGGTTAGCTTAGGCTAATGGCCAAAAATTTAGATCATGAAAGCCATTGAGGTACAAGTTTATCAGAGTTTAACAGTTTATTTCTCCAAAACATTGAGCCTATTGTTGCTGGAAATAGGTGAAAAAACAGCTTTTTTTCTTATTTTTGTAATAATAATGTATTCTTTAAATTTATTTACTTCATTTAAATTCAGAGAATATATTTTTCCGTCACAGAAATGAAATGAATGTGTCCCAGGACTCGTCCTGTCTCCTCTGTGTGATCCTCCGTTTCCCTGCGTCTCTCCAGGCTGCCTCATTTTTGTGAAGTGTAAGGAAGCACTGTGGTGCCGCAGCACCATGATCGAAATCTTCCAAAAAGGCTCTGAGGAGCCTGTGGAGTCCTGCCCGGTCTCACAGCTGGCCAGGATCCGAGTCTTCTTCCTGGACTACGGCTTCACCAAAAGCATCACCATACAGAGGTGCAGACTAGGGGTGGGACGGTTCACAAAATCCACGGTTCGGTTCGATTCACGGTTTCGTGGTCACGGTTTTCGGTTCGGTACGGTATATTTATTTATTTAATCAGGACAGTGCACATTAATGAACAATCTCATACAAATTGTAAATGAGCCAGATTATAGCATAGTTGCTAGTTTACATCTGTCGTCCTGAGGCAGGAAGACAAAACAACACAAAATCACAAAATACAAAATCAGTCCAAACACACGTTTAGACAATAACATTACAAAATGAAAATTAATTCAATTCAATTCAATTGATTGTTAGGAAAATCTATTATGTCTTGTATAGTCAGGTTAAAACTGAAAGAAAAAAGCAGTCTGACATTTCATACATCATTGTGACAGTCTTAGGTTAAAAGTAGGTGAGATTCTGGCATTGCAAGAGAGGAAACAGTGCTAATTCCAACATGTGCTTCCCTCTAAATGCAAAGTGGTCCATACAGCAGACCTATAAACTGCTGTTGGCTCGCTGATTTTTATCTGCTACGCTGTTTCTTCTTCTTCTTCTTGTTTCCTACTGGTGGTTGGCTTTGGGCTCAGTAGCGCCCCCTTCTGGTCTGGAGTGTAAACGCTTCCCTCTGAGAAAAAGGAGCAGCATGAACCGAACGCAACACACGCGAACCGAACCGAGACAGTCCAACCCAACGGTTCAGCCGTTTTTAAAAACCCTCCCCCCCCAAATTCCCCCCCCCCCCCCTCCACCAGAGGGGTCAGAGGTTACCTTGAAGGCCATGAACTTGTGGTAGGGTTTGGGGGCCCAGGCGTAGACCTCCACCGAGTTCTTCAGAGCCAGAACCAGAAACTTGATCCTCTCGTATTTCACTGAGCAAAAGAGAAGAAGGTTAGGACACAAAAAAAGCGTCTTTATCTGCTTTAGAGACGGACTGGTTCAGTCTGGCAACCTCTTTTAACTGGTTTTTCATTTCTGTTCTGTGTTTCTCAAACCTGAGATTATTTCTGATCTCCACACCAGATTTTGAGTGTTTACCGGTCCAGGTTCTCTAATGAGGGGGTTCGGGGTTTCAGAAACCGTCCCATCCCTACTAAATGCATGCTCGGCTAATTGTGAAAGTCTTCGTGTGAAGCTCCTTTCCCAGAGACGAGGGCGTGGCCGAGTCCACGCTGAAGGCTGTGAACGGCCACCTGAGGAAGGCGGCTGAGGCTGTAAAGGCGGAGCTGTCCCGATTCGCCCCACAGGCCATCAGATGCTCACTCAAGGACCTGGTCCCATTCGACCCAGTAAGTCCCCTCAGGCTTGGGCCAGTTACTACTTTTTTGGGCAAATAAATAGATACATTTTAAGACTGAGAAGCAGCATTTGTGTTGTTTGACTAACGATGTTTGGCTATTAATGTTTTAAAGTTGTCTAAAATGGCAGCCCCACACATCAAGAGAAAAAAAGAAACCATGGCTTTTTTTTCATTTTCTTTTTTTACTTTGCATGATGCATGAAATGAGGAGAAATGGACAACAAATACGTTTTTCCAACTCCTGCAACCTGTTTTTTGCCGTTTAGTCATGTTTCATGGCACCCAAGGTTACATTTTCCATGAATGTAGTCATGTTTTGGTGTTTATTTGTCTTTAGTGAACCTGTGCTGCTGTTTGTGTGTATGCAGACAATGGGATGGAGTAAAGAGGCACAGTTTGAATTCCACAGTGTTGTGGGCTCTGCAGCAGTGAAGATGCAACCTTTGGGTCAGGACAGAGACTGTTTGTTGGTGGATCTCAGAAAAGCTCCCATGGAACAATCCACCGACGTGCCCTTCTCTGTCAGAGAGTACCTTGTTTTCATTGAGGTGGCCAGGTGATCACACACAGCCTCTAAATGCAGATGATCTCAGATCAAATAAACCAAATGATAACACGATAGTGGAACTTTACCCCTTAAAACTGGTTCTCTCGGCTGCGTTTTCCCCACATTTCTCAGGTTTTACTCTCCAATGAGACCTGTCTGGAAGCCTCTGACATACTACCCCCCAGTTTATCCCGGGCTGAACAGGGAAGTGGATGCTGTGGTGTGCCACATCAACACCCCTTCACACTTCTACATTCAGCTGGTAAAAGAAAAACAAACAAAACACAGGACAGGAAAAAATGAGCATTTCAGGAACATTCTGGAAAGTTTGTTTGGTCAAAGCAAATCATGTTTTGTTTTTTTCTTCCTTGTTTTAATGTGTTTCCTTTGTGTAAATCCACCTCGTCGGCAAGTCGATAACATGGATAAAACAAAGGACAGGAAACACGAAAAACAATCTTTTTAAAGTTTAACATGAAAAATCTAGCATTTCAGGAACATTCTAGAAAATCTTGTTTGGTCAAAGCAAATCATGTTTTGTTTTCTTCCTTGTTTTAATTTGTTTCCCTTTGTGTAAATCCACCTCTTCGGCAGGTCGACAACATGGAGACGTTGTTGCTCTCAGCCAAACTTCAGGATTGTTACAATATTTCGACAGAGTTTGGGGAAGACAAACTCAAAATCTACTGTCCTGTGATTGGACAGCCCTGCGTGGCCCGGTTTGAGGACAAGCTGTGGTACAGAGCCCAGGTCATAGGTGTGTGTTGTTACTTATCCAGATCCACTTTAGACACGGTGACCACTGAACTGAACCCGGTTTTGTTTCCTGTTCTGATACTTTTATGCCAAAACTGTGTGATGTGCATCTGTCTCTGGCCTTTTTTTTGTTGTTGTTCACATATAAAACCTCAAAACTTTTAAGTTCAAGTGTTCCTTCTCTCATCTGATCCATGTATTGCTTTGCTGAAACCAATCCAATACATTTTATCTTTATAGCACGATTTCAACAAACACAAGGTTTCCAAAGTGCTGCACAAAAAGATATACAGAATAAATAGAAAACACAATAGAAGTACAGCAAGAAAAGATGAGGTACACAGCTGTAGTTTCAGGACCCACATCACAGCTTTGTGTTGTTGTGATCAGTTTCTGCTTTCTGTGCATTTTTCTCTCAATTCCCATTTAAAATTTTCTTCATTTTCACCAACAAGGTCAAGGAAATATGTTTGGAAAATATAGTAGATGTTCTTTGTTTTGTTTTTTTATGTTAATGTAAAGTATTCCTGTCATTTCCAGGTCATCCGGGGGACAGAAAGGTGGAAGTGCAGTATGTGGATTTTGGAAATAAGAAAATCTTGTCAGTTAGCGACTTGAGGAAAATCAAAGACGAGTTATTTGCTCCTCCTGCAAAGGTGAGAACACAACACTTTTAAAAAAAATTTATGACAAAATATCGCGGCTAAACGATGACTTTGACACTGATACGACTAAAACCTACTGTACTACAAATATATGTATTCTCCTATGTCAAATAGCAAAACATGACCTGCTGGGTTAAGTCAGTTTTTCCTCTTTTATCCAGGCAATCCAGTGCTGTTTTGCAGATGTGATTCCTCTGGATGGAGAGGCCTGGAGTGAAGCCTCCATTAGCAGATTCATCAGCCTAGCTCACCAGCAACTCATCACTATCGTGGCTACAGGTACTGGCAATGGTTCCTCACATTTCTTAGCAAAATAATGTCCAGTCCTTTGATTAGTTTTTGTTTTGTTTTCTATCCTTAAGGAACCGTCCCAAAGTCTGAGCCTTTACCCCTCAAAGTGTTTAAGAGTGACTTAGGTGGCCCGAAAACCAACTTAGCCGAGTTGCTGGTTAAAGAGGATCTGGCTCGCTTCAAAGATGGGTGAGACTCACCTGGAAGTTTTTTTTTTTTACAACTTGCTTTTTCAGAGAAAAAAAGGGATAAAATGTTTTATTTTGAGGTATTTTCAAATAAGAACTTCATTTTATGCTTCAAAGTTTCGGCTCACATCTGGAGGGGCTGCAGGAAAGCATCTGTAAATGGCAGAAATAGCTCTCAGAACAGTAACTGCCCTCGATCATACTCTAATCCACAGACCTGGACATTTAACTGGGAGGCTTGGTGGAAGTTCTCTTAAAGGGGACATATTATGCAAAACCAAGTTTTTAATCATTTGATTGTGTACATTTGGGACTGTGGAGGGCCTATCAGCAGGCAAAGTTTGAAAAAAAAAAAGACTCAGTCGTGTTTTTGTGGGCCGCCTCAGTCTGAATCCAGGAGATAAATCAGGAGGTTTCAGGAGTGGGTAGTTTCTGACGTCATTAGCTCTAGCTCATTATAATATTCCAGCCTTTCACCTGCATGTTGCCCCCCCCCCTCAGCTTACTCCGCCTATCTGTGGCAGACGTCCTGGTAGCGTGAGCGTTAGCATGGTAGCGTTAGCATGGTAGCGTTAGCATGCTAGCGTTAGCGTGCCGACGTGGGCACACCTCCCGGAGGAAGTGGGTGGGTTGCCTGTGTGTCATTTGCATTTAAAGAGACAGGCGCTCCAAAGCGAGCGCTCTGAACGGGGCTGTTTTGGGTTAGGGTTAGGGTTAGGGTTAGGGTTAGGCAGGGGGACTGAACTGCTATTGGGCTTCATCCTTATGGGATTTTGACCAAAGCTTGTCACAGACATCAAATCAGGACACCAGGGGACTAGTTTAACTTGTTGAAATAGGGTATAATATGTCTCCTTTAAGACTGAAACATTTTAGGGGTAGAATCCATGTGTGAAAACCCTTTTTTTAATTGTATGTTTCCCTAAACTCCCTCTCCCCTTCCCCAAACTGTCTGATCTCCCACAGACTGAAGGCCAAGCATGCCAAAGCCCCTCTGGATGATTTAACCATATGGGACCCCCCCCTCGAGCTCGATGGGGGGGTCCCAGAGGAGGTGGACTCCCCCGACCAGAAACACCCAGAGGAGCAGAACGAGGAGCTGTTTCAGCCTCAGCTTCTGCCGCTGGCTCAGCTCAAAAAGCTGAAAGTCAGAGTCAGCTGTGTCAGCTCCCCCAACAGCTTCTACGTCCAGTTCACCCAGAACAACGCTCAGCTCGAGAGGTCAGGCTAACCCTAACCCTATCCCTAACCTTAACCCTATCACTATCCTTATCCCTAACCCTAACCCGCCAGAGGAAACAGGCCCATTTACGTAACGAATAAGATGCAAACATGGTTTCAAGGGAACAGCCTGTTCCACTTTTGGATTGACTTTTTAATGTGAATTAGGCTTGTCCCGATCCCATATCTGGATCGGATCGGAGAAGAGAAAATTCAGATCCAGACTCCAGATCCCTTTTTTTTAAAAGTCCGATCCCTCACGAGCATTAGCATTAGCATCTCCTGACCCACAGGTCTGTTTCCTAACCATTACGTTGTTATCAGAGTAAATCCCTGTTCAACATGAGTCTGATAACTAAGGAAGTAAATAAATAACTTTAGACTTTAACACATGCTCTGATAGGCCGGGATCGGAAGTGAAAAAAGCCGGTTCGGGACATCCCTAATGTGAGTAATATTTGGGTTTATTGTGCTGATTCCGCTCTTTTCAGGGTGTGTGAACTGGTGAAGCAGGAGTGTGGACAGATGAAGCCCCAGGATGTGGAGTGGCAGGAGGACGACTACTGTGCGGCAAGCATTAACGGAGTCTGGGAAAGGGGCCGGATCTGTTCAGTCGACCCGTCGAGCAACACTGCAGAAGTATAAAAACCCCAGAACCAGATTTCTCTTCTTCCTTCAGTTCAGTTGATATGTTGAGATGTAGCCGATTGTTCCAGGTGGCTGTTCTCAGACAGCTGCATTACAAATGTTTCTTGTGTAAAAGTTAACTTCCTACAGGCTTCCATGTGAAAACCAGGCCCCCCTTAAAGGGGACATATTATGCAAAACCAAGTTTTTAATCATTTGATCATGTACATTTGGGACTGTGGAGGGCCTATCAGCAGGCAAAGTGTGAAAAAAAATGACTCAGTCATGTTTTTGTAGGCCGCCTCAGTCTCAATCCAGGAGATAAATCAGGAGGTTTCAGGAGTGGGTAGTTTCTGACGTCATTAGCTCTAGCTCATTATAATATTCCAGCCTTTCACCTGCATGTTGCCCCCCCCCTCAGCTTACTCCCCTATCTGTGGAGACGTCCTGGTAGCGTGAGCGTTAGCATGGTAGCGTTAGCATGGTAGCGTGAGCGTGCCGACGCGGGCACACCTCCCGGAAGAAGTGGGTGGATTGCCTGTGTCTCATTTGCATTTAAAGAGACAGGCACTCCAAAGCGAGCGCTCTGAACGGGGCTGTTTTGGCAGGGTTAGGGTTAGGGTTAGGCAGGGGGACTGAACTGCTATTGGGCTTCATCCTTATGGGATTTTGACCAAAGTTTGTCACAGACATTACATTAGGACACCAGGGAACTAGTTTAACTTGTTGAAATAGGGTAAAATATGTCTCCTTTACCTGTTGGTGTCTGTGCTTCCAGGTGAGACGCTGTGATTATGGCAGCGTCGTTAAGGTGCCCGTCGGGGACCTGAGGCCTCTGCCCTCCTCCCTGACAGGCTCTCTGGCTCTGGAGTGCACTCTCAGTGGGATCAGGTGACTCATGCACGCCTACATAGGGATGTCACGAAACTCGATACCGATATAATCGATACTCGATACCATTTTCGATTCCACAAGACTCCAAAAGTAAACTGAATTTCGACAGGTTTCAAACTGACTTGTTACTGATGTTATCGTGGCCGGTGACCCACATTAATGACCCTAACCTAACCCTTCTTAAAAGGAACAAAAGATTTAAATAAAACATTTAAAAAAGGATGAGAGAATAGAGAAAGGGTAACAACAACCTGAAAAGAAGAGAAATCCCTAAAACAGGAAGAGAGGAAAAGAAAAAAAGACAACAAAACCATCCATTCAGCTGCTTTATCTATAGAAACCACCTTCGCTTTCTAATAAGTGCTCATCGATTTTTTCCGCAGTTCGAGATATTTCTCTGTTTTTGCTTGTTTGAAGCTCTTCAGTAGATTCCTAATTTTCCAAATCAGCTCGTTCTCTTTTTCCTCTCTCAGGCCTGCAGGAGGCCGAACCACCTGGACCGACACGGCCTGTGACCTCATCTCATACTACCTGACCGGCACCTCGGCTGTGATGGACATCAAGGTTTTTCCACAAGATGCACAATTTCTTCCTGTTTTGGATAAAAGAACAATGCTGATGCACATTAAAATGACTCAATGTTATTCATTTATTTATTTAATTAATTATTTTTTACCTTTTCCTATTCAGCATTATGGCAGCACAACTGAAATCTGAGTACTGTGCTATGCTGAACAAAATTGCTTTTATTTGCCAAAGGAGGCTTTGTTAGTGAGAAGCCGCCCTCGATTACCAAAAACTGTTTTATCTATTAATTTTTTTTACCAAACTTACACATGTCCAATAATGCCGAACCTGACAGAGGGACAGGGGGAGGGAAAAGTAGTGGAAAGGAGAGAGATCCTTTAAAATGATTTAATCTGAGTTTTTTTACTTAGTTCCAGTAAATCCTTTTCTTTTTTTATCATGTAGGAGTTAACGGAGGAGCGTCCGGTTCCTGTCACTCTGTCCTGCTCCAACAAAATGGGCCGGTTTATCAGCATAGCCGACTTTTTGGTCGGCGAGGGACTCGCCCTAAGAGAAAGAACAACGAGGTCTGAGTGTCCGCCCGTTAAAAATGTGCTAAAATGTCCAAAAATACTGAGTGACTGACTCTGCTCCTCTTTCTTATGTTCTATGTATGTCTGCTGTTGCCCAGTCTTGCACTTTTATACGTCTGAATGGCATTGCATAGGTACTCTAGGTGTAATGTGTGTGTACTGTCTTTGTCTAACTGTCCATGTCCACACCTAAAGTCTATTACATCGTTGTCTGGGACCGATCGATTAAAGAAATTGGATCGTTGCCAGGGGCCGATCGAAAGTAAACAATCCTTGTTGCCAGGGGCCGAGGAAAAACTATTTGTTTAGTGTGACGGGATCCCATACGTGTTTGTGTTGACGATCGTCAGTTATTGTTGTTGTTGTTGTTGTTGTTGCTGTCGTTGTCCTTATTGTGTTGATTATTTTTCTTTTCTTGTTTTTCCTGCTTTTAAATTCTCTGTCAAGCACTTTGAATTGTCTTGTACACAACAATGTGCTATACAAATAAACTTGCCTTGCCTTGCCTATGTCTATGTCTGCATGGGAAAGCAAGAAACGCAATTTCAATTCTTTGTATGACCAGCGCATGGAAAGAAATTGACAATAAAGCCACTTGACTTGAATTTTTGTTTCCCCTGCAGAGATCCTGGGGTCCAGCAGCTCAAAGGCTCCGAAGCCCAGACTCCAGACGGTGAAACTCAGGCTGTCGGGGAGGAACCAACCAGCACCGATCCAGCTCTGTTTCTGGATCTTATCCCCAACTCAACGCCAAAAGCTTCTGCACCAGCGCGCCCAAAACCGCCCCCCCGCTCCATTGCCACTGCTGAAAAGGTGACGGATTCCTAAATATTGTTCATATAGAACAGTGCTTCTCAAATAGTGAGGCGATATCTGGGGAACAGGCTTTTTCTTTTTTGGCCTTACCAGTATAAAGTGTAATTGCGCATCCACTCCAGTAGGGGGCGGTGGCGCTCTCATTGTTACTTCAGTGCAACATTTTACGACTTAAAAGACAACAGGTTAGCCTCGGTTAGCAGTGTTGAGTCAGCAGAAAGCTCCGACTGAGTCCTGTCTGTAGCCTCCGTTGTTCAACATAACAACCCCCAACATGGAAACGTTTTTAACAGGGATGAAAAGAAAAGTGGAGAGTTACATAGATAATGAGACAAAAGACAGTCAACCGAAAGCTAAGACGAGGAAATACAAAGAAGCCAAATAAATTGACGCGTCACTTAAATACGTTTAATAAAGTTTTTCTTTGTAAGTTTGACCATATGTCTTTCTTTTTTCTTTTCTTTAAAGGGGACATATTATGCAAAATGCAGGGTGATTGAACTGCTATTGTGCTTCATAATTATGGTATTTTGACCAAAGCTTGTCTCAGACATTACATTAGGACACCAGGGAACTAGTTTAACTTGTTGAAATAGGGTATAATATGTCTCCTTTAAACCAGTTTAATAAAGTTATTCTTTGAAAGTTTGACCATATGCCTTTCTTTCTTTCTTTTCTTAAAATGTTAATAAGGATAAAATGTTATGCAGAGATGGATAGTCACAGTGGGGAGTGGGGGGTGCAAATAGTTTTCTTCTTGCTAGGGGGGGCGTAACAGAAAATAAGTGAGAAGCACTGATATAAAAGCTTGTAAGATGCATGGGCAGCTTTTTATTCTTATTGCCTCACAGGTGACGACTGCTTTGTACCAGCCTCCAGAGCTGCCGGGTGTCGGCCCGATGCAGGTCGGCGTGTCGGCCATCGGGGAGGACGGCCTCATTTATGTCAGGACGCTCAACGCAGGTAAAGAGAGGAGATCCCTCAGGGGGACTTACTTAGTTGTCGGACTCATGTTGAACAGGGATTTACTCTGATAACAACTTAATGGTTAGGACACAGACCTGTGGGTTACAGATGCTAATGCTAATGCTCTTGTGGGATCGGACTTAGTTTGGACTTATTGTACAAACCTATTTAACATCCACTATTTTAACATAATATTATGGATAGTTTAATTCAGTGTTTGAAAGATTAATTTCACTACTTTTAAATAATGTCTATATTGCCATGAGGCAATCAGGATTTTTTTGCCTGGGATCTTCTTATTGGTGACCTAATCAAAATGGCCGACTTGGATGTGGGTGGAGTTGGATATCCATCCAGACTGACTTGGTTGTTTCTGGCTGAATTGACACAAAATTTGAGAGAAAATGCATTTGGAAATGATTTTTTAATAAGCTGTTACAGTTTAAATAAGAAAACAGGACATGAAACGAGTATCTGTGTCTGTGTGTCTGTCAGAGGGCCAGCTGGTGCAGCTCAGGGAGCGGATCCAGCAGAGCATCAAGACGCTGCCCAGACAGAAGCCCTACACCTGGAGGTCGGTGCGGGGCTGTGCCGTTATCGGGCCGGACATGCTGTGGCACCGAGGGCAGCTGCTGGAGGTCCAGGGAGGACAAGTTAAGGTAAGGAGGAAACACACAAACCTTCTGGAGTAGATTCAGTAAACAACCCAGAGAGATAAAAGACAGAATGAGAGGGGGGTGCTTAGAGAGAGCTGGGGATGAGTCCTCAGATGGTTTCGGGTGTAAAGTTAGTAAAGGTTCAGGTGTTTTTGGAGGAGATTGAGGTTGACGTGTCCATCAGGAGAAAATTTAGATCCAGACTCCAGATCCGTTTTTTTTTTTTTAAGGCCGATCCATAGTGTATTATTCAAACTCACCTAATTCAGCTGGTTTGTCTGATCCCACACAAGCGTTAGCATTAGCATTAGCATCTCCTAACCCACAGGTCCTATTCCTAACCATTAAGTTGTTATCAGAGTAAATCCCTGTTCAACATGAGTCTGACAACTAAGTAAGTAGATAAATAACTTTAAACTTTAAAACATGCTCTGATAGGCCGGGATCGGTATCCGATCGGAAGGGAAAAAGCTGGATCGGGACATCCCTTGTCCAGAGATTCAAAAGTATCTTAAACTTGTGTGAAATGTAAATGGAAACCCATGTAATCCACATATTTGGATCTCTGAGAATCCTTCTGGGATTCAGCTGCCATCTGGTTGATAAATAGTTGGTTTAGATTCCTGTATCGGCAAAAAGCTGGATCGGGACATCCCTAGATTGAGGTGGATTTTTTTAAACATTTTTTTAGATGATTTGGAAAAATGTGTGTGCTGCTGCTAGCTTGGATCTTAATGGTGCACAAAAGAGAGAAACATCTCAAAGCACACAACATCTGAGGTTTCTGTGGAGGACAAAAATATGAACAAAAACAGTCCAAACTTTGCTCTGTCTTTTAGGGCAAAGCATCACGTCCCAGTTTTCACTATTTGTGAAACTACTCTGTTCCAGAGCGTTTAAAGTGTCCTTTGTGTGGGTGATGTTTGAGTTTGTGTGGGTGATGGTTGAGTTTGTGCGTTTGCAGGTGCAGTATGTGGACTGTGGGCAGGTGGAGAACATCCCGGTGGTGCACGTGTACCCCATCCTGCTGTGTGAGGACGTCCCCCAGCTCTGTCTGCCCTGCAAGCTGTTCGCCGTCAACCCCGTAAGTCTGTGTCTAAACACCCATAGCTTTATTTTTCTATTTCTATTTTTATTTTTCTGTGTGAGATTTTTATTTTTTTAATTCTGTCTAGATTGTCAATTCCCCTTCAAGTCAGTGGGTCCGAATTTAGCTTTAATGATCAGTAAAAGCTATTTTTTTACGATAGCTAAACATATTTGTTTTCTTTAACAGACACATTTTAGACATAAAAACTATTCCAAAGTATTTGTATTAAGAAATAAACATGGAAAACTAGGTCAAACACTTTGTTTATTTATTTTTTTCCTTGTTTTTCTGCTTTTAAATTCTCTGTGAATCACCTTGAATTGACTTGAACATGAACTGTTCTGTAGAAAATAAACTTGCCTTTCCTTAAAAGGCTTTTTATTGGGTCTTTCTTAGTCTCTGTTGTTGACCCTCATAGCTGCAGAAGTATGACTCTTGATGGGAAGTAAAGGCTTTTTGCTTTTCCTCTTCAGGTCGGGGGTAAATGGCAGCCGGATGCCGTGGCGTTGATGAAGGAAGCGCTAATAAACCGCTCCGTGGATATGCAAGTTGTGGTAAAATACACACATTTTCTGAGCCGTAATAACTAATAAAGGAGGATTAGACTGTTCATGTTTGTTTGTTTGGTAGGAGCTGCCCTCTAACCCCAGGGCCCCCTTCACTGTCGAGGTCTTCCTGGATGGTTTGAGTCTCAGCAAAATCCTGTGTCACCACGAGCACGCCTCCATGGACCGGAGTGTGTCGACTCAAAAGGTCTCTGTGAATTAGGCTCGTCCCGATCCGATATCCGGACCGGATCGGCCGTGATATTTGCAAAAAAAATGCGAATCGGCCGTCAGGAGAAAACGCAGATCCAGACTCCAGATCCAGTTTTTATTTTCCTAAAGTCTGATCGGTTTTCCAGCGCACTGATTAAATTAATCCATTCCGCTTTGCTGTGTTGTTCCCTGATATCCGGTCCGATCATTTTCCAGCACACCCTTAAGAATTAGCATTAGCATTAGCACCCACAGGTCTGTGTCCTAACCATTAAGATGGCCAATGTTAATTTGAAGTAATTGGTAAAAATGTCAGTTGTGTGGGCTTATTTTATTTTGTGTTTATCCCTGAAAAAAACAGGTCAGTGTCTCTTTACCAACCATTGTGTATTATTCAAACTCACCTAATTCAGATGGCTAGTTGTTATCAGAGTAAATCCCTTTTCAATATGAGTCTGACAACCAATTAAGTAGATAAATAACTTTAAACTTTAACACATTTTCTAATAGGCCGGTATCGGATCAGAGGTGAAAAAAGCTGGATCGGGACATCCCTACCGTGCATGTTTGTCTCTTGTGTGCCGCCCAGACTTATCCAGGACTTCCTGTGTGTGTCTGCAGGGGCTCCTGGGGCCGCCTGCTGCCCCACTGCTGGACGACTGGAACTTCAACACCGAGGTAATAAACTTTCATGTATTTAAGCCAGTTGGAGTCCAGTTTATTGTAAAACTGCCGTACAACAATCAGTCCAATCCATTCCAGTGCCAGAAAACTAACTCCCACACTTGCTATTTAGCTCTAGTTATTTTTTGTGTATTTCTTTTGTCCACCATGACGTATTTTTTAATGTTTTTTTTTTTAACCTGGTTAAATAAGTTTAACAAGTTCCAATTAATGTGAAGCCATTACAATATGCGCAATGCACATAAAAAAACTACGAATAGATTTAACCCTTTAAAGCCTGATCCAAGAAATATAGGAAGTATATTGGATTTTTTTAGTCTGAAGTCTTTCTTTGGCCCCTAAACAAGATATGAAGAAAACAAAAAAAGAAATGATTTTGATCAAATTAGCGTGCAATAAGTCAAAAATATATTTTGGTGTAGTCTTCTACTGGCTGTTATCAGGTATAACTGAATGTGTACAACAGGGGTTTGAGCAAAGCTTTTACCACTGAATGATGCAAAAAGTCTCAGATCCAAAAGACTTCAGAAACCGTATGAATCAGATATGAAACATTTGGCATTATAGGGTTAAATCCAGCTCACTGACTGGATGAATGGTGTTTTCCTTCTTCAGGGTCTGAGGGGTCCGGAGGAGCTGATGCTGGGGCCTTTCGTCAACCCGAAGCTGCCTCAGGAGGGAGAACACTTCCGGGTCCGGGTCAAGCATCTGCTGACCCCTAACGAGGTGCTAACGGGACTAACGGGACTAACGGG